ATCGTTGTTTTAATTTGCATTTCCCTGATGGTTAATGATGAGCACATTTTTATATACCTGTTGGTCACGTGCATGTCTTCTTTTGAGAAATGTCTGTTTAGGTCCTTTGCCCATGTTTTAATCCTGTTATTTATTTTTTTACTATTGAGGTGTTTGAGTTTCTTATATATTTTTGAATATTAACCCTTATCAGATATAAAGCTTGCAGATGTTTTCTCTTATCTGTAAGTTGTCTCTTCTCTCTGTTGATTGTTTCCTTGGTTGCGCAGAAGCTTTTTAGTTTGATGTAACTTCATTTGTCTATTTTTGCTTTTGTTGGCTGTGCTTTTGAAGTCATACCCCAAAAAATTACTTCCAAGGCAAGTGTCATGGAGCTTACCCTATATGTTTTCTTATAGTAGTTTTAGGTTCAGATCTTACATTTTTCTTTAGTTCATTTGGACTTGATCTTTGTATATGATGTGAGATAAGGATTTCATTTCATTCTTTTGCATGTGGATATCTGGTTTTTTCAACACTATTTGTTGAAGAAACCATCTTTTCCCAATTGTGTGTTCTTGGCGCCTTTGTCAAAAATCACTTAACCATAAATGTGTGGATTTATTTCAGAGCTCTCTATTCTGTTCTGTATGTCTGTTTTTATGCCAGTCTCATGATGTTTTGATTACTATAGTGTAGTAGTTGATTTTGAAAGTGGGTAGGGTGATGCCTCCAGTTTTGTTCTTTTTGCTCAAGATTGCTTTGGCTATCTGGGCCTTTTGTGATTTCACGGGAATTTTAGAATTTTTTTTCTATTTTTGTGAAAAAATGTCACTGGAATTTTGATAGGGATTGCACAGATTGTTTGGGTAATATGGATATTTTAATAATATTATTTCAGTTCCTGAATACAGACTATCTTTTCATTTATTTTTGTCTTTATCAACTTCTTTAGTGAATGTTTTATAGTTTTTAGTGTATAGATATTTCACTTATTTTTTAGATGTATTTTTAAGTATTTTATTGTTTATGCTATTATAAATTAGATTATTTGCTTTACTTTTTTTTGGATAGTTTTTTGTGAGTGTACAGAAACTCAGCTGATTTTTGTGTGTGGATTTTGTTTCCTGTAACTATACCAAATTCATTTATTAGTTCAAATAGTATTTTGATGAAGTCTGTAAGGTTTTCTATATATATGATCACATCATTTACAAATACAGGCAATTTAACTTCTTCCTTTTTGTTTTAGATGTTTTTTATTCCTTTCTCTGGCCTAATTGCTCTTGCTAGTGCTCCCTGTACCATGTTGAATAGAAATAGAGTGGAAATCCATGTCTTATTCCTGATCTTAGAGGAAAAGTTTCAACTTTTCTCTATTGAGTTTGATATTAGCTGTGGGCTTGTCATTTATGGCTTTTATTGTGTTAAAATACATTTCTTCTATACCTAATTTGTTGAGAGATTTTTATCATTAATGGATGTTGATTTTGTCATATGTGTTTTATGCATCTATTGAGATGATCATATGGTTTGTCCTTCATTTTGTTAATGTGGTATATCACAATTACTGATTAGCATGTGTATTAATTATCTTTGCATCTCATGGATAAATATAACTATGATTGCTAGTATTTTCTTTTTTTTTTAGTTGGAGACTCCAACTAAAAAAAAAGAAAATACTAGCAATCATAGT